CAAAGAGGAGTGACAATCAATACAATGAGACTCACCTCTGATTCAAAGTTGAAGAATGTACAATATGCAGAAGGCGTGAGTTAGAGGTGTTCATCAATAAAATCCTCAGGTTCTCTAGTCACACTCACACCTGCTGGAACTCAAACAGGTAACAACATTTGTGGTTTATTTCTCCATTGATTTGTTTATTTTATTATATTTTGAATACTATCGGTGCAAACGTGATTTGAGCAATATTTGTGGAGATTTGTGCTGTTGTGTTACTGAAGCTGAACAGTCTATCGTGTTATTAATTCTTCATCATCTTAAACAATATTTTTTTAAATTCTGATTGAGATGTAATGTTTTGAGTGTTATTTTAGTTTTCTGTAAGTAACCTGTTTTGTGTGTTGTGTCATCAGGAATCTGCAAAAAGACAAAAACAGATTTGACCAGAAAATAGGCAACTTCATCAGTGTTTGTGCCGGTCAGTGAACATTACATTTTTACTTTAAACTGTCCCACTTTTTAACGAGTCAGCAGTTATAAAAGGGTTTATAAGTTGCTACTAACTTTAATAATGTTTGTGGAATAATTTAGTAATGCTTTCTATATGAGCTATAAAAAGTAGGCCGCAGAAGTGCAATAAACAGTTGTGAGTCATCTGCAACAATTAGTCAATAATTAGTGGTGGATAACTGGTTCTTCAAGTCTGCGGCTGTATTTGTGAATACGCTGTAAGTAAAGTAGTTTTGTTCCGGATGCCCTGGATCTGTTTCCCTGAACGTAAGACGTCAAATGTGCGTTGGATCAAAAAATGTACAGAGAACAGGAAAATGAAAGAGCTAAAGAGACAAAGCCAGTGCCCAAGAGGTTTCTGCAAACAGCCAATGCAAAGGTTGTTATTCATTCACATACTGTAAGATCTATAAAGCATTGGTACATCTTTTGTTAACCATTAATAACGACAATAGTTACAATTAAAACATCACAAAGAGTCTACAGTCATGCTAGTGGTGCTTTGAGCGAAATGCTAAAATGCTCTCAAAGCGAACATGCAAATGTTTAGGAAAGTCATGGGTCTACGTTCATGGCAATCCATCCAATAATTGCTGATATTTCAGTCTTGACCAAAGTGGCGGACCAACCGATTGACCGTCATTGCAATTCATAGAGCCACGCTACCAGGGAGGCTAGTAGAAACTCTTTAGAAAAGTGCCTTAGAAAGTATTAGAAAGTGGTCAAACTAACTGATTAACATGGGCTCTTTTTTATCTCCTCTTCAGGTACTTGAATTCTGCTGGACTACCTTTTTGAAGCAGAACCAACGAGAAACAACAACATTTTCATCTTCCTCCTGAAATCCAAGCTAACCATCATGGAGTTGGAAGGGTTCAGGGCTGATATGCACATTATACTTTCAGAGTATATGCAACAAAATCCAATGTCCACCAACACGCAAGTGTTCTCTTTTTTGGCGCTGCTGAACGCGTACATTCCTGAGTCCTACCTCCTGATGTCCGAGTGTCAACAGATCCTTGGACCACCTGATACAATCAATGGAGGCCCCCCCTTTGAACAAAGAATGGAGCCTTTTACCTTCTGTATCAACGAATCCAGTCAGAAATGTATGATTGACCAACTTGATGCACAGATTTATGTGCAGGTACTAGCTGACTTAGGGATTTCCAGGAGTGCTACAGTGAAGAAATTGATGTTCTCCCTTTGTGGAGATCAGCCCCAACCACATATACTCCAGTTCGTCAAAGATTTGCTGACAAAGAGAGAATTTGGAGAAAAGGGTAAAGAGAAGTTCTCAAGGTTGATTGAAGATATACGGAAAGAAGAGAATTTCTACAACGCCGTGTCTGTTTTGAAAACTGCATCAAATAAATTGAGACAAAACCCCATCTACCCCCAAAGCCTTTCCCGTCTCTATTACATCAGAGGAGGCATCACTGACTATGACAAAGCTGAAGAATGGACAAAGACAGCCATTAAAAGAGCTCCAAACAACTCTTATGTGGCTGACACTCTCGGGCAGGTTTACAAGAATCGTTTGATGAAGGGTGCCAAGCGACGGGAGGATATCTTACGCATGGCAAATATGGCTTTCAGAGCCTTTAAAGATGTGGAGAGGAAAGCTGACAATGAAGAGCGCCCAGAAATGAAAGAGATGGCTGGTACTGTAAGCATTTCAAATTCCTTCAACAACAGAGGCCTTTTTGGCTTCATTCAAGTGGCAAAGATAGCCTTTGAGAAACTCAGAGCAGCAGGATCGCTTTCTTCACAGGAATCCAGAAGTTTCATCCAAAACTTAAAAATGGAAGTTACAGCTAAGTTTGCCTTTTTTGAACAGTACCTAACCTACTCCAAGCCTGACATGACATCCCCAGAGCCGCATTACTTCTGGAAGGACATTGTACTTTGCTACAAGATGTACACAACAGAAACGGCAGCTGAATCCAAAAGCTTTCCAGCCCTTCTGGATGGTCTGAATCATGGCCTTTTCACATCAAAGGGAAGACGTGCTGGATTTGAGGAGGCCAAGCAAACAGTGTTGGATTTAGAGGAAATCCAAGAAGATTTGAAAACCACCTACGAGGCCAATCCTGACGATGTCAAAGCAGCTGAGAGTTACATCCTCTCCAACATCCTCTTGAGCAACAAGATGCACAACTCTCCAAGGCTCACCCCAGTGAGTGAACTCAAAGCAATAATACACAGATTCTTGGACACAGACGTGGGGCGTAGAAGCCCTGAGTTTTACCTCATGACTCTGCTGTTGTTTTGGCCTGAGGAAGAGCCTCGAGTGGTGCAAGATGAGGATGATGAAGAAGTGGAACAACCGGCCACAGAGGATGAGGGGTCAGAAGAAGAAACCTGGGAGGTTGAGGAGAGCAATGAGGAACAAGAACCAAGCAGAGAGCCTGAACAACTATCTCTTGACCTCATGTTTGAGCCTGACCTGCAACAGTATGTCACATTCATGGAGCAAGCGTTCGGGAATTCCGATGCCAAGTACCTTCGGGGCCGTTACCTTGTATCCTTGTTTTTTCTGGGGAAGGGCTCCGGACTGAGCAGATGGATCCACAAATCAAGGCTGGATGAAATCGTGGAAAATGAGGTGGATGCTGAGCTAGCTGGTGAACAGGATGAAAGTGCTGAGGAGAAATTGAGGCGGATCAATGAAAAATGGATCAAAGGTGATGTGTGGCGAATCCCAGAAGTTGAAGACATGCTTCTCCCAGTCCGGGTCGAGCTATGCTGCACTCCCACGATGCCACAGGAGCATGAGGAAGAGGAAGTGCTTGTTTGTGCTGGAGGGAAGAAAATAAAGGTTAGAGTAGTTGAACCTGATTCAGCGCTGAGCCCGATGCTCTTCTATCTGGGTTTCACCATTCAGGGTCCTCTCGTCTTCAAAGTGGGACATCCTCACATGTCTGGACAGTGATTGACAAAAGAACACTTTTGTTTTCCCAGCATCCCTTTGAATAGTTGCTGAGATATTTCTGTGTAGCGGTGGACTGACCGACAGACCAACATTGTTGTCCCTAGAGCTACACTGCTAGTGATGCTAGAAATGATTACCTTTGAGATACATAGAATCATGAAAAATAACTGCAAGAGTTCCCCCAAACACCCAAACTATGTAGTTATTTTTACACTATATGGCTTCGATGCAGTAGGTAAAGTAAGGAGTAAATGCTCAGGGTCACCTGTGTTAGAAAAGTGTCAAATCAAATGTACGGTCATTTTTTGGATTTTAGTAGATGGTAGTGGTTGTATCTTCAATCTTAAGTTCATTTAACTATTTTGCATTATATTTTGAATTTAATTTAATATTAATTTAGATGTACTTTTCCAATACAGCATACATGCATATAAATACAAATAGAAGATACAATGTATTGATTGGATTACATTGTCCTTGTGCAGTTTTAATGAGTTGTTGGTTGTGTTCCTGTTTTCTTCAAATGTATTATGAATGTGTATTCTAACATAAATCAATGTTTTTAAAGAAACGTGGTGTGAAAATGTAATTGGTAATAATGTGTGCAGTTGTTTTGGCAAAATAATTAAACTTGCAATGTGATTATTTGCTATTATATACTATTGCCTCCCATCTAAAACTCATGAAATGATCAAAAGAAAACAACCTTTCAAAGCCGCTTTATTCTTTTATTTGAATTTGTGCACAACCATATTGTTTGAATGCAGGATTTTAACTTGCAACAGAGTATATTCACATGGTAGTATTGCTACTTTTAAGTTGGGAAGTACTGAACTTAACAAGCCAACTGTATATAAAGTAGTTACTGCACCGCATTAGAACAGTACAATGGTAAAATGCTGCTTAGACATTGATGCACCGGGAATAACAAGTCATTTCAAATAATATATCAGTCACAGGAATGCAGTTCTCTTCCTGTAAATACACCTGTACTTCTTAATTCATGGGTTATTCATGCAGGGCTTTTACTTGTCCTTGATTATGTTTACATTTCTGCATAAGTACTTTTGTAGGCATAGTGGCCTTGATTGCCGTCGCAAAACATAATTTTAGAAAACACACTAACAACTTAGAAAACAGAAAACATTTACAAAACTACATTAACAAAACAGAAAAGGCAACTAATTTTTTGTTGCGTTTCATCCAATGTTTTCGTGTTTTGACCTGATTACTCTGTCCACCACGGTTAAAGACTGCATAATATTAATAAACACTGGTTTACAACAGAAGAACAGTTGTGGATATTCTGCAAAATAACTCAAAAAGTGAATGTTATCAAGTATTATTTCAATATCTTAGACTATCTAATATTATTAAAAAATATGAGCTGCAGTTTTTTATTTTATTTTACTTTATTTTATTTATTTTTTATACTATAATTATTAGACATCCTGATCCACACTCCATACCAGTTGGTGGCGGTAATGCGCCAATTCATTGTTTGCCAACCGCCAATGAACCTCAAAAAAGAAGAAGAAGAAGTAACAGCGCCCACAGTGGTCAACTATTTACAATGAATGTATTGTACATGTACGGAATTTCCGAGGGGCCATGAAGGCAGCATTTTCCCCGCATCAACCTGCCCAGCCGGTTCCAGCTAATTAGCCGTTAGTCTGTCGCACAGGTGTGTGTGTCGACTCGTCCTTTTGTGTCAACTGCCGCCGAAAACTCCAGATGAGAGACTAAATTCTCCGGTGACTGGAATGTTTCCTCGGGAAAAAAGAAGAAGAGCAGAGCTAACGGGTCGCAACGGTTAACATGTCAACGTTATAGCACGACAGGTGCACCGCGTTTCCGACATTCGATACGTTAGCCTCCTCGTTTGTGACACTAGCTAAGTGTTACTAACTGTACTCGATAAGCTGTTACAGCCCAGGAAAATCAGTTGTTTCCGACTTGCACGAGGACATACGTTTGTTCAGGTAAGTAGCCTGCGAGTCTTCTGACAGGGAGTCAAGTTAGCTGACGTCATTTGTTGTTTGACCCGTTGACCTAATGTAGCTATCATTAGGAAAGTATGCGTTGTTGTTACCTGTGTCATGTCTATAAGGCTGACAGGCGGAGCACTGGAAACCACTGCTGACTACCTAACTGTGATATTACCACTTTGGGTCTCATTTGAACAACACAGAGCAGGTTGGCAGCTTATCTTGAGGCCATGACCTTTTTAAACAGACTTGTTTACAACAAGTTTAACTGAGCCAGTGGGGTAAAACTGACCTTGTTTTTGGAGGTTGCCTCAAGGCCTGAAGTTGCACTTCTACTTTCATTTTTATCCTTTTGTAAAAGAACATGCAGGAAGTGGTAATGTTGGGTAAATCAGTTTCATATGCTTTCTATAAGGCAATGTCTACTGAGGCATAATCACATTTAAAGCTGCAGGTAACTGTTTTTTTTTTTTTCTATGATTTACTAATTTGCTGATTATTTTCCAGATAAATACTTTGATTGTTACTTCTATGAGAAGTCCTAAATGGTGAATATTGCAACTTAAACCCTCCCAAAGTGATGTGGACTTGTTTTAGTCTAAATGATCAATCTACCAATTTAAAAGAACACATGCATCGATAATAATCAATAATTCGTTTGGTCCATAAAATGAAAAATACAATTGTCTTGACCTTTTAAGTGAAGTTATAATTTATTTTTTTGTCCAACCGGTCTAAAAGTCAAAGTTATTCAATTTACAAAGAAAAGAAGCAGATCCTCAAACCTGACAAGTTGAAAATAGTGAATATTTAGATTTTCTTGTTTTTTTTTTTTTTTCTTGAACTTTTAGCAACCTGACATCTACAGAGGGGGGAGTTCTACATCAGGACACCTGCATCATCAGCATCTTTTAATCTACCACCAGCTCCACTCACCTGTCGGACCTCCCCGGTGTGAATACTGCCATGGCCTCGGCTCAGTCGGAGCAGTCCAGCGTCCTCCAAGAGGAGCTCACCTGCCCGGTGTGCCTGGACTTGTACCGCGACCCCCACTTGCTCCCTTGCGGCCACAACTTCTGCAAGACCTGCCTGGACCGCCTAAAGCGGCAAGCGGATCGAGGTCGCTTCCGCTGCCCAGAGTGCCGCGACAGCCACCGGTGTGGCACCAACTTTCAGAAAAACTTCAAACTCGCCAATATTGCGGACGACTACCGCCACCGCCGCAGAGCCACCACTGCAGCTTTAAAATCCAGAGAGCTGTTGCCGTCTTCTCTGTCGGCGCAGCAAGCCAGAAGTCTGTTTGCTGTTCCATGTGACTACTGCCCGTCAGTCGCCGCCGAGGCCTCGGGCATCAGTGCCGTAGGGGAGGGCTCTTCTTCTTCTTCTTCTTCTTCTGCTGCTACTGTTTCTCAGGAAGACGATGACAAGCAGCAGCAAGCTGCTGCTGCTGGGTCGATGTTTGCGGTCAAGACGTGTCTGAAGTGTGAGGTGTCGATGTGCCAGGAGCACGTGAAGCCACATCTGGAGCTGCCGGCGTTCCGCGAGCATCCGCTAACGGAGCCGATGAACGACCTGTGGAAGAGGAAGTGCCCGGATCACGATGAGATATACAGGTAGGAAGCACTTTCACTCAAATGTGTTTGTATTTTTGAAAAGGTGGATCTGAAATTCAGTTTTTCGTCAATGCCACGAAGTCTTGATCTACTGTTACTTGATCTACTCCAGATATTACTGCATGGACGACAAGATATGCGTGTGCAACGCTTGCACCATAGAAGGAGGACACTCGGGACACACACTCAAGACCCTGAAAAACACCATGAAAGATCTAAAGGTACACTTTTTATTGTCTTCATGGTCTGAAAGCTGCATTATTGTGTTAAAAAACAATTTTACAACACAAAATCCCTGTTTTTAGGAGCATTGTATTCAGAAATAAATGTGGAGGAACTCCGTGTTTTGTTTCACCACCTTCTGATTGTTTTGGTCACACAAAGTCTTGTGATGAGTCAGGAATCCTCATGAATGAATATTGTCAGTAGTTGTTGTAGTAGTGTGTGTGTTTATGGCTGCGTGGAGATGAATGAAAGAGTCACAGGACTCTGTGGTCTCTCTATAGGAGAGTTAAATCCACTTCCTGTGCTTCCATTCTCCTGAACAGAGTGTGAAGTTGAGAGGCTTCCAGTTCATTACCCAGAAACTCGTTGAATTCAACATATAAGTTTGGTGTTATATTGTATTAATTTCAACCGTAATGCAGTCGGCTTTCATTCACAGGAAATGCATAAATGGGAACAAAGTAATTCATGACTTTTGAAAGCCATCATAACTGAAACAAGTATCTGTCATTGGAACAACAGCAATCAATCACACGTTCAGCCCCTACACTCGACAGATTTGTGTTTTGGAATATTTAAAATCTTACAATCTCGTTGTGCCATCATTGTCATGGAGCACTTTGCCTCCTCGTGGTGTTCCAGGGCTCGCTGGATAAGCAGCTGTACCGGGTGGAAACCAAGTACACCATGGCCGAGAAGAAGCTTCAGGAGCAGAAGGAGAAGGAGAGGCAGGATAAGGTGAGAAGGCCGCCAGATCTTAAGACGGTGGGATATTGTTGTGGTCGTTCCAGGTTTTCAGCACCATGGACAGCAACACTAAAATGCTCTGAGTAGTTGTGTGTCTGTAGGAGACGTCTAAAACACTTTGAGCTGAGCAAACACTTAGGACCTCTATTATTCGGGGAGTGAAAACATGCAGACACTGTAAAACGTTGATATAAAATGTTAGTTCCCCTGCGGCCTCAATAACTTGCGTTAACTGCACTTGAGAAAGTAAGTACAAATGTAATCATTAATTGTGGTTTAAATGGGGACATTTTTGTCCTTAAGGGTTTGATTGTCTGTCTTTTGGCTACATAATATATTATAGAGTTATTGTCAGGGCAAACTACAAAAAAGCATGACGATTAATCCCGATAACATCCTGTGTTCTTCCTCTTTTCCTCCTCCTCCTCACCTCCCTCATCTAGAAGTTCATGGACGACTCTGAGCAGTGCTTGACCCGGCTGGGGGAGGAGATGAAGGCCAAAGTACTCCGCTTTGTCAGCAGATTGCGAGCATGCGCCCGCAGTCATTGTGACGTGAACGGGCCGACGATTCAGAAGAACATCTCCAGGATCTGCCAGGACCAGGCCCGTCTGCAGGAGGTCCGCTGTGGCATCGAAAGCCTCATGCAGGAGAGCGACCCTTTCCGCTTCATTGAGGTGAGAACACATTTATTCCCAGTCAACCTTGCACATTGTGCATATAATTACACCAATGTATTAGTACTAGTTATTTATATGTAAATCTACTAACATGTTGTTTTTGTCCCTTTTTCAGGCATACAAGACAACAGGAAAACAGTAAGTACTGCTTTTTATATTCAATAACTAACAATTCATTTCATTAGCGATTAATCCACAGATGATTTCCTCCATTGATTGTTTAATTGTTTTGTTTATTAAATGTCAGAAAATAGTTTAATGTGAAAATAGACACAATTCCCCAGAGCTCAATGTGATCATCGTTGATCACTTATTGTAATTTGACAGTCCAAAACTTTACTGTCGCACATCACAAGAAACATGAAGTCCTGACATTTGAGAAGCTCTAAGCAGCATATGTTTGGCATTTTTGGTTTAAAATTTAATGTGCGTGTGTTTTTAGGTGCCGTAAGCAGCTGAGAAAAATCATGTTCTACCCAGAATACGTGGACACGGAGACGGAGGTTCTTGGTGTGATGATGGAAGAAGAGATGAGGAAGTTCCTTGATGAGGAACTACCGTGTCACATTGTGGCTGCCATTAATTCCGTCTGTAAGGAGTTTTCGTTTTTCTTTTAATGTCATTTTGACCGTAACGATGTCGGCTACATGCTAATGCTATTTTATAGAGAGGTGTTGAGTCAACTTTTCATTTTGGAGGCTGCAGTTTGTGGTCCTGTTTAACTGTGTTGCATCACAAAGCGGGGTGTTTCTGTTATTTAGTCTACCCTCATGCAATGCGGATCCCACACAAATGTGGTGGACAAAATAGTAGAAACGGCAACAACACCTCTCTAAAATGTCCAATCAGATTTTTTTGATTCTGTCAGGTCCATTATCATCAGGTCATCTTTCAGATCTCCAGGAGGAGGAGGAGCAGGGGGAGAACGAAGAAGAGACTGTGGAAGAGGAGGAGGAAGAGGAGGATGATGATGATGATGATGATGACCTGGATGACAGCAGCGTGGAGGAAATGAGGAGCGAGGGGGACGAGGAGGAAGACGACGACGATGACGACGAAGAGGAGGAAGGACGTGACCAGAGTGAGCTGGCTGGTGATCTTTACAGCCCGGAGGAGGAGGAGGAGGAGGAGGAGGAGGAAGAAGACGACGACGAGGAGGAGGATGGAGAAGAGGAGGATGAGGAAGAGCAAGGAATTTAACTTGGGACAGGATTTCTGTACTTGTATTTTTACAGTTATTAAAGCACTTTGGACAGATGTTAAGGTTGTAACATCTGTTTTGGTGTTGCACTCATCGATTCGAATGTCCCATGTACAGTTCAGGACTCAAGCAGCTACCACGTTTTGCCTCAAACCCCTTCGACAGTATTGTGAGACGACACACTGGATGATGACGGAGCTTCGATGCAGCTGGATTTAAAACTGACTGTGCACTGAGAATGTGCCGATGTGATTGCTCAACCTGTGAACTCAACTACGGTGCTTTATAGTAGAAGACGTTTGCTGTATTCGTCAACACACGGATGTGAATGTATAATGAAAGAATGTGGCTGGAGGACTCGGAACACCTCAAACAAAATTTGGCGAAACCCTCTGCATGTCTTTGATGCCAGATTTTCTACCACGTTCACCTGCATTTTTATATATAACGGGTGCTCGGCAGAGAGAGATTCTGAAGTAACTTTCCAAGCATACGGAGGAAGATGTTTGGATTCCTGGAGTTTCCCAGTTTTCCATCACCACAGAAAGCCTTTTGACCGGCATCCGTAAAGAGGCCGACATATTAGACCTGAAGGAGTCCTGCGTGTATGGATTGTTGTGATTGTCTCATTCATGCTACAGTTAAACATTGCAAGCCAAAGAGAGTGTGTGTGTGTGTGTGTGTGTGTGTGTGTGTGTGTGTGTGTGTGTG